GCTCTATCAAAGAGGTAACTTTTAACTTCATCAAAATGCTGTTTAATGCTATAGTCAAGGGTTCAAATGTTCTTGCTTTATATTTTACCTTATAGGAACAACGCAACATAACTTAGTTGTTTTTATTTGTTGGGGGGGGGGTTGGTTTTGTTTGTTTTGGTTTTGTTTGTTTTGGTTTTGTTTGTGTTTTTGTTTTTGTTTTTTTGTTTTTTGGGGGGGTTGTTTTGTTTTTTTGTTTGTTTTTTGTTTTGTTTTGTCTTGGGTGTAAAAATTACCCGCACGAACTTAAATCGATAGCTTGAGGCACCGACGATATTAAGTTACCAAGATATGTGTCCATTATGTCCCCTCGAGGTTTGATATCACAGAGGAAAGGGACATAATGTAATATGTATATTATGGCGTGATATACGATCTTGATATTCACCAAAAGTGGGCATTGTCCTAACTATAGGAGAAGTTTGGTTTCATTGGTGTGTATATTTCTTTGGTTATAGAGAAAACTCTCCTTGTCTTTTAAAGAGACTGAAAAAGGATCCAAAAACTTTAACTTCGAATTTCTCAAAACAGCATTTATCCGGATAGCCCCCATTGTGCTTAAAAGCCACCATATGAGAAGGCTGCCCTGAATGAAAAGACCACTTTCACCTCCACCAGTAGTATCGCCATGTATATTATCATTTTTCACTGTCATATGAACAACTGCCGTCACATCTTTACCATCATCATTATAATCACTATAACAATTACATTCACAATCACCACCACTATCACCATCAACATCACCCTCACCACCACCATTATCGCCATCAACATCATCTTCATCATCACCACCGTTATCACCATCAGCATCACCTTTACAACCCCCATCATTCTCGCTGACTGTACCACCTTCGCCACCGTTTTTTTTTGCCATTAACAACACCTTCATCACCACATGGATCACAATCACTACCATTATAGCCATCATCATCATGATAATGTACCGTGTTGGGGACGTAGAACTTTCTGCAGGTGTGTTTGTACAAATTGTACAAACAGTTTGTACAGACACACTCCCACCCAAAACCACGCACGCCCACATACACCCAAACACACAGGCACACACACACACACACACACACACACACACACACACACACACACACACACAAACAGAAACACCGAAAACACACACAAATACACACACA